ATTACACTGAAGTACTAAGAAACAGTAGGACATCTTGTCAGTAACTTGAGAATTCAATTGTTTTCTTAAAAAAGTATGTATGTGCACAGATATGTAAGTGTGGGTGTACATGTGTGTTTGTGAGAAGAGGAGGAAGAGAGAATGTTTTTACTTATTTATTTTAGAGACAGAGTTTTGCTCTGTTGCTGAGGCTAGAATGCAGTGGCACCATCACAGCTCACTGCAGCCTCAAACTCCTGGGTTCAAATGATCATCCCATCTCAGTCTCCCAAGTGGCTAAGACTACAGGTGTGTACCACCATGCCCAGCTAATAATTTTATTTTTTAATTTTTTTTAGAAACAGGGTCCCGCCATGTTGGCCAGGTTGAGATGACTATTAATTGAGGAATCTAGATGAGAGATATATAACAGCTCTATGTATAATTCTTGTAATTCTTCTGTAAATTTGAAATTAATTCAAAATAAATAACAAACATAATTCATTTACAGAGATAATCTAGGCTTGACAAAGCTGGAAAGGTGGGGGCTCTATTTTAACAAAAGTTATTAAAGGGAACTCAGGAGGAGCCGGGCTCAGTGGCTCAGCCTGTAATCCCAGAGCTTTGGGAGGCTGAGGTGAGGGGATTGCCTAAGCCTGCGGGTTCGAGACCCACCTGGGCAACTTGGCGAGACCTCATCTCTACAATAAATCAAAAATTAGCCGGGCGTGGTAGTGCGCAGCTGTAGTTCCAGCTACTTGGAAGGCTGAGGCGGAAGGAATTCAGGAGAAGAACAGACATGGAGTCAGTTCTCTGAGTACCTCAGAGTAGAGTGAAGAAAGTGCTTATCAAGAAACCTCTCCTGCAAGAATTAGCCAAAGGAAATCAATATATATATCCCAAGAGCAGAAGATATATTAACTTCCTCCTTGAGCATAAATAAAAATTGAGGGCAACTCTTCGGGTTCCCTCCAGCTGTGGAAGCTTTTCTGTACTCTTGATTAATCCTGCTTTGCCACTTTCAAAATAAAATAATAATAATAATTAAGAAAGCCAATTCAAGCATTCAAAGGCAACTTAGCCCCTTGCTAAAGAGGTGGCGGCAGGAACATCCCTGCTTCCTGTCTCCTTCCCAGGTACTGGCTCTGTAGTCCTCCTACTGCTGCTTGGCTTTTGGCTGGGATGGGTGCTGCCAGAACTTTCCGTGGGTAGGTGGAAGGCTGGGGAGAAGAGAAGTGGACCCCATACCAGGCCCAACAGAAAGCCAGCAGCACTGATAAGGCCACCCATCCACATTGGAGTACTGAGCAAGATCAGAGGGAGGGCAGGGCAGGTCCAGTTCCTGAATACTGTTTACTGTGTTTCAGGACCCAGTGTGCCATCTTGTTTCATCCTCACCACAAAGCATTATTACCCTCACTGTGGTGGGCATTATTACCCTCAATGTGGAGAGGATAAAACAAACTTGGAGAGGGTAAGCAGTGTGCTCAAGGTCCCAGGCTAGAAAGCGCAAAGCTTCACATCCAGGTCTGTCTGGCATCAGGCCCACATGTTTTCCACTACACTGCGTTGGGTGTCTGTCCTCTGCGAACTTACAGATGTTTTAAGATTTTCTGCCCTTGCAGATTTCTGAGTCAGAGCTACAGCAAAAGTAGTAATTTGCACAAAATCAGTCCCCACCTGAGTTCCTTCCCCAGCCTCAGGATTCTTTTTTTGAAAGAAGGAAGGGATTCTGAGAACGCCTTGAATTACACTCAAAACAGTGTGTGGGTATATGTGGATTTTTTTGACAAGAGGGTCTATGTCTTTCACTGCGTTCTTTAAAGCATCCATGACTTTTAAAAGGTGAATAACCAGCCGGGCTCGGTGGCTCAGCCTGTAATCCCGCGCCTTTGGGAGGCTGAGGTGAGTGGATTGCCTGAGCC